GGCTCGATATTCTCAGGTGCACCCTCTCCCCTCCAACCCCTCCCCAGCCCGACCCACCAAGCAGGCTTCCTTATCGGCAGCAAGTGTCTTCATTGCCGCTACAACAAAATCAGATCCTGAAGCATGTTTCCCTGCATTGTTTCTTGGGTATCTTACGTACGAGTTATGTTCCGTGGGTATGTCTGGGGTTGTCAACACATGGACTGCGGACCGTATGATGACCGCTTTCAGGCTATTCGTTGTAATACTGAGTAAAGTTGGTTTGTGAGTCTGCGAAAGTGTTTTTATTTGGCCTGCCATTGTGACAAACTGTTCAGCTTAATTAACTACGTTAACTTTAGGATGCTCCTCTGTGATAAAGATGTGGGCTAATCCGTGCGTAACCCAGCAGCCAAAATTCGCATTATACTGAAAGGTTGCTGAAGGGAAATCAGAGAATTGCACTTCAGTAATGACTGAGTTTATTTAATAAATATGTTGAGTAAAAGGACTGTCAACCAATTAACAGTTGCATCCTAAGTTAATGCCACATTTAACCACCTGCCATCATTTTAACACTATAGCCTGCGAGGCCATAAGCAAGGTTAAATGAGAGCCTTAGCATTGGAACGGTCAGAACGTTTTTTTTATATATTTCGCAGCCTGTGAGCTTAAGTAATATATACGTCTATATGAGCGTATAGATAGGACATATATATAATTGTTGGTTAATTCTGAAAGGATGGATCGAACTGGATGCAACGGGCTCAGGGTACAGCTCGGTGTCGGGCTTTTGTGAACACGGGGATGAACCATCGTGTTGCATAAAGAAAGTTGGCTATTCTTTGACAATCCGAGTATATAATCGACTTTTCAAAGAATCTCCTGAGCCGTAGACAGAGTGAATGAGTTTGTCAATTTTAAAAATAATGGACTATCGGTTTAGCACACGTGAAGACCAAACTAGGGTACTTTTAGATTTTCACATTTCGGTTACCATAAATTTTTAGCTTTGAAAAAAGAAGTTCAGATGTCATATTTCAATAATTCTTTCTTAAAAAATATAGTTTCTCAGCTTGTTAAGAAGTTCCCATTTTTGTGAAATGCGAAGTGTGTTTGGAAAGCCCGACACTAGATCCTATCCTGAGCCAGTTAAATCCAGTACACGCCCATCGTTTCAGTATTTTTCTCCTCTGTACCTTTAAGTAACCTGGGGCCGGATAACATTTTCCCATGTTGGACATAGGCCGAGATATTTTTTCAAGTAAGTTATTACTAGCAGATCAAGAACAAAATGTCCGTACTTGAAGCTAATGTAGTGTTAGAAGATTTTAAAACCAACGCCGTGCCAGCTTTAGGCTTTCCTACCTAAATACTATGTACGGACATGCAAGACCATCTGTTTCGCCTTTATGTGTGCTTCACATCCTGTCCATTTCATTCTCCTTCATTTAATGACTATAATAAGATCACGTGAGTAATAGAAAAAACATGAAGTACTTCGCTGTGATTTTTCCCATTATACATTTACACTTTCTTAGACGAAAATGTAGTTATTTTTAAAACGACGTCCGTCGTAGTATTCTTGACACACCGTTTTCATTTTGACGTAAATTCAAACACTTTGATTCAATAAATATATGAGTCTTGCGCTAGTAAGCGTCAGTCCAGTTAATGTACAAGGGTGCATGTTTTTGTAATGGGTAGTAGCCCGTGACCTTGACCTTAGAGCGGAGTAACAACCCGTTGCGTCTCACGCGCTGTTCTCGCCAAACTGTTTCACTTTGTTTCGCATCTCACAAGAAAACTGATAGAAGATGTCATCAAAAACTCTTGTTCCGAAGCAGGAGGCGCTGCTGTCTGCTCCATATCTCCAGGCAAGTTCCATCGAATGCCGCTGCGTGGCGTTCGTGGTTCGCGCCCCATATCCGGCCATCGTCGTCGGGTTTTTCCTTCGATGCTCTCAATCTCGGCATTTGGTCATTTTACCAACATTATAAAAATGTATTTACATTTGTGTTCAAGAACTCACAAACCATTTTCATAATTTAACCCCGTGGTAATATAACCCTCAAGATTCGTAACCGTCAAAATAAAAGTCTAAAAAATTTATCCTGTATCACGAGCAATTTCAGTGTAGTCACTTTCCTAAGTTGTTACTCCCACACTGTTGCCAGTCTTGTAAGAATCAGCACTAACATTCTGTGATTTCTTACTCTCCCTACTCTACAGACGTATACAAATTTGTGGTTGAAGGCAGTCTTCAATTGTTTTGAAGATGTTATCGCTAGAATAGCATGTAGAGACGTGTAGACCTAAAATGACTTCACAATAATAGGCCTATAGGCTCTTTCAAAATATTGCCTTCATTAACTCAAGTGAGCAGACTCCTTCTCACGAAGCTGATAATTGTTCGACCATTTCTGATGAAGTACAAACATTGTTCTTTTGTGTGCACGGTGATAAAACTTTGGTTTCCAGACAAAGACATTCTTTTTTGGGGCAGTTTCGTTAGACATTGCCTTATATGTTTTAAATGTCGCTACTTAAATGTTAGAAAATTACGATGTTCTAGATAACATAAAAGTGTGGGAAGGAGATGCATGCTCTCTCTTCAACACTGCTCGAGGCTTGATTCTGCACTCAGCTGTATCACAATATACAGGTTGTTATCAGATCTCTTCAGATGATTTATTTTACGAAGTTCGGGTGGGGGGAGGCTCTATCGTGTATTCTGCCGCAAGATAAAACTGCAATAGACGAGAAACACGTAGCGATTAGTAGCCTACAGAGGTAACGCTCATCAGTGTTATACAAGAGCAGTCTTGTTTCAATTTGGGCTAGTTTACTGACGTTCATGGTTTTTCATTCAGTATATGCCGAGATAGTCGGTCAAATTTAAATAGATCTCCTTTCATATCCTTATCTCATTATCGTTACATTTCCAGTTTTGTTCAGTATCAGTCTAAGTTCGCGTCATGTTTGTTACCATTCGGCTCCCTACAGAAGATTCATCTTTCAGGTTCAACCTAAAGATATAAACTGTAATTTTATGGTCTGAGGGTTTTTGGGATCAGCGTGCTCAGGGAAAAAAATGTAATGAAGAACTTCATAATGGAAGCCAGAGTTCTTCAGATAGCATTGTTAGAGTAATTAAACAATGAACGATGAGATGGGAGACGTGGGAAGGTAATCATGTATATAGTGTATTGATCAGAAAATCTGATTGAAGAGTTCAATTGGGAGATCTGGTCGCGTATGGGAAGATAATATTAAAATGTCTTGGAGAAACAATATATCAAGGTAGGAACTGGTTTCCGCTGCCGTAGAACGTGGGCTATGGTGGACTGTTGCGAAATTTTCTACAACTTTGACAACTACAGCGTATCAACGAATACTGATCCTCTGTCCACTCTAGCGCAAGTCAAAGGTGTTTCAATTTCGGCAGTGCCCGAGTTACCTTTCTGTGTGTGAAGTGACGCAGAAGTTACATCCTGCAGGACATCTGTTAGGTCCTCACGAGGTCAGAGACCCTTGATGTGGCTCACTGGAGCGCGCTTATTCGAAGATTGATCTTAGGCCGATTGTTCTTACAGACGCCTACTTGGTGGGCTCAGCGCTCAGCTGTTATAGTAACAGTCATTATAATCGATTGCATGAGGAACATCCCACCATTCGGTCTTCATGTCCCACTAGACGAATTTTGTTAAGTTGTATATTAAATTCTGCATTGAATGTTGTCGACCGAGTTTCATATCAGACCGTCAGGATCTAGCGCCTATTTTATATATAACTTATGTCAAAGTGTGTAATATTTATAGAAAATTATTGTCCTAGATTATTGATCTAGTGGTGCCTAGACCTGCGCGTATACCTACCGTGTTAAGGCCGTGCTAACTCACTCACTTGTGGACGGAGTTCATTTCACGAGAGACAGAATTTCTTGTCCCTCACACCGGCTGTTGTGCTACCCAAACATCTACACAATGGGTACTTGAGGTACTCTACCTGGGGATAAAGCGGGTGGAACATTACCAATCGCCTCGTTCTACTATCGAGATGGGCTAGAACGGATGGAGCTTTACATCCACGCCACCTATACATCTAAGTGACGTAGTGATTATGCATATGAGTGTACTTTGTATTTGATGTAATATTTGGCAGCGTGTGGTCTACATTTAACAAAATGCAAGAAAAATAATTAATAATCCATGTAATATCTGTATAGTTCATCAGCTGTTTCATTAACGTATGAATGTCCACACCTCGTATCTGTTGTGTTGAATCAATGATACTAGGGCTACAATTACAATAGCGAGGGATGCAAAGTCACGAGCGGGCGAAGACCTATAGGGTGATATTCGACGTTCACAACGAACACATATCGAGGAGGTCCTATTTGTAGTTTCCCATATTTCGTCACCAAAACTGGCCTATTTCGACGAAATTTGGCAGTGGCCTATTTATTTGTCGGGAGAATTTAGTTTGTTTTTCATCCATCCAGTAGACTTATAATTAGTAACTTACATGAAGTTAAGCTCGTCTCCTTGCAACGTTCTTGCGCGGAACTGTGGTCCTGTTAACGCTGTGGAACGAGTCGGCCCACGGACCTGCCAATAACTGTTGATCTCAATCCACCGCACGCTGACCGCTTGTCCGTAACTACCACGCGCCGTCATCTGGGAGATGAGCAATCAGAACACAGATAATTCCAGACTATTACTTAATACCCTCACTGCAGCAACCAAGTTCACGACGAACAGGCCTATGTGCCTCGGCGGCTCATTCCAAGGGGCTCGCCAATAATGCTCTGCGTTTCATTTTCAGTATAATCAAGCTACATGTCTAGCCAATCCATATCGGTTTGGTTTAAATTTGTAATGTCAGAAGAATGTTAATCATTGGATTTCTCTGTTAATCCCGATTATTTCAGTTTTTAGACCAAATGAATTTCTTCGCGTTGAAATATAATTATGTTTCCTAAGATTAACAGCAGCACATTACGGAAGAAATCTTTAATTTTAATTTAGGATTTGAGGTTTTCACGGCGGTGAGTCCGAAGATGGCTGTCTTCTGGTTGGTAGGCCCTTTCCAACAGGATACTCGGCGCTGCAAACCACAGGACAGCCATCTTAAATATTTTATTTTGTTTTAATCTTTGTTCATTTGAAAGTAAGGCACGAGTATATCAATAAGTATACACTTAATAATATTCTGAATTTTTTAATAATTTAATCAAAGGTCTCGTTTATATCTTATATACTGGGAGGTACTGGGATACTGGGAACGACCCGTTCTTGAAGTGCCTGAGCACTGCAGGTCCCAACTTTTCATTGGCTTGATCTATAGACATTCGGTAGGACTCCTTAGACGAGGGATCGGCCCGTCGCAAGGCCTCTACCTGTATACAGGACAGCACAACACAGACATCCATGGCTTGAGTGGGATTCGAACCCACGGTCCCAGCGACCAAGCGGCACAAGGCCCACGCCTCAGACCGCGCGGCCACTGCGGACCCCCTATCTTATATTGTTTCCAGTGTTCAGTTCCTGGCACTTTCGAATTGCACAGACAAACTGATGTAACTCCCATCTCACAAGCGAAATGTACCCGGAAGAAGGGAACGGTTGGTTCTCAGGTTCTTTTGAGACACTGCTGCCCAGAGCTGAATGATATCGAAACTGGGCATGAATGGCGAGTAGGTAGGGAATTGGCATATGGCACCTGTGATCTATTTAAGGGTCTACCTCCTGAGCACTCGCTTTAGGAGATTAGATGAAACGCAAAACGCTTCAATAAATGAAGCCTAGATGCTCCGGACTAAGAATCTTGGTCTGTGAAAACGTGGAAGTAATTTAAGCTCTTCAGTAGCGGCAGGCTTTTGTGGTGACTGTGATGTCTTAGGAAGGTATTTATCGAATACATATGCTGTTCTAATGGGGTCTTTATTACCTGCTGGAGGCAGCAAGGACCTCTGAAACGTCGCAACACGGCGCAACAACCCAGCCATCTTCAGACTTTCCGCCTTGAAAACCTCAAATCCTACGTGGAGAGTGTAGTATGATCTGTGAGTTTAGTGCAGGGAAGTTATTGGCCAATGAGACCGACTTCTTTTGTTCAGAATTCGGCAACTCACCCCAGACTATCCCTCTTCATCAACCCTTCACAGGTCACCAAACCCCTGCTGATGGATGGGACAGTCCTTACCGCAAACTGTTCTACTGGGGAATCACCAATAAGAATTCAGTAACACAGACTGAACAACGAATAGCTTTCACATTCCGAGTCCTGAGTTACATCTGGAGTGGTGGACTCTGTCTGAGAACGATTTACTAGGATCAGTGTTACATGATTTATGCAGCTCATGATTGAACAAAGAAATAAATTGTAAGTAAACTAACTGACTCCCTGGTAGCAGAACCTGCAGGTTCAACACCGACAACACCAAAGCCCGCCACCGGCCACGATCCTGAACAAACTCCATCTATTTGCCATCCTCACAGCCCACCTCCCTAAGATCCATCTTGATGTTATCCTCCCATCTCCTTCTTGGTCTGCCTAATGGTCGTTCTCAGAAGAATCCCCTTCCAAAATCCTGTATGCACTGTAATAAAATATAAAATTATTACGTAATTCAAGAATTATGATGACCATCAGCAATGTTATGGCGTTATTTATTCGAAACTCCCGGGGAGTGAATGAGAAAAATATTAGGACCTAAGAAAGATTAAATAAGAGGACATTGGAGCTTCGTGATTTTAACGCAGACTTATTGTTAACTGAAGGGAGATCGAGATTGAAAAAAAAATTAAAAGTTTGGGAAATGTATCCTTACGTTTTAGTCGGAAAACTCAAAGAAAATTGACCGCTTGGAAAAGAAATAGATGGAAGGATGGGCACGCTGCTATAATGGGAAATTCCTTGACTAGCTAAGCGACTATTTGTTTCTCAAGGAAAACTGCTGCATTAAAATTAGAGAGGTCAAATCTAAAAGTTTGTGACGATGGTGCCTTTTTAAAATAAAAAGTTTTCAGGATGTTTTCCATCTTCTAATAAAATCATAAAATTACACGACGTTTCGGAGATGGGACTCTATCTCCGTCTTCAGGTAGACCTACTCAGTTGGGCCCAATCGATAGAGCTGAGTAGGTCTACTTGAAGACGGAGATAGAGTCCCATCTCCGAAACGTCGTGCGATTTTATGATTTTATTAGACGATGGAAAACATTCAGAAAACATTTTATTTTAAAAATTAGATAGGGTTTGCCCAATCCTTCTACTCCAATGGAGAAATATGGACTCGCTCCCTAGGACACAATTTAGGCCCATAAAAATATTGCCCTCTCTCATGCGCCCGGGTTTAGTTTATTGTTTGTTAAACGACACTGTCGGTAACTCAGATTAGGCGTCTACAGCGTCCAAAAATAACGGCGATCACACCCATGAATGACAAAGGGCGTGTAAGGTTAGGTTGCGTCCTAATTTATGGTAATATCCTGTTATTCTGTTCGAGAGATTGAGTACAACCACGAAAAACCTGTCAGAATAGCCGATCTCCTGGCAGAGATTTGCACCTGGGATCTCCCGAATAGGTAACAGGACCCGTTAGGTCTACATCAGACGGATGATTTTATGAATAATAATGCACCAGTGTCGTTAATGGACGTCTCTTGTGGTCTGAAGAGCATTTGAAGGTTGAGATGCGGAATGGAGATTTTTTTTGCAAGCTGCAGGCCGGAACTTCCTGACAATGTGAGACTAAATTAAATTAGGCACTTTGGTAGAAGCATTTTTGTTCATGACCAGTATTCAGTAAGAGTTTGCAAACAATATTCTCGCGGGAATACAAGCTCTACATAATTATTGTTATTAATTATACTCTGCAAACAAAGTGTGGACGCATTGTACACTAGAACACGATTTTAACGAAATTAAGTATCTACGAGTTCTCTTAGACCTCATAGAGGAAACAAGGCTACTCTCAACACGACATTTGCCGTAGATCTATGAGATCTGCGTGTTGTTGGTATTAGTTGTAGCTGGCATGGTAAGAAGACACATCTGGTGTGATTCAGTGACTCACTTAACGTGCGCGCGGTTATTCCCCCCCCGTCTGAAGGCCGCTCTTAATTGTTCCAAGAACCTCGGCGTGTCTCCTCCTCGTTCGAGCTTAAAGTCTGACTTCGCCGTGCCGGCTCGCCAGACATGTGGATGTTGACTGGCACGAGAAACTTCGTAAAGGCTTCTGGGATATAATGGCACTCCCACGAAATGTCCAAGGTTTGAACACAGCTCTCAGTAGGGACACTCCGGCGTTACACCACGCCAAGGACATCTGTGGGAGTACTTGACGAGATATGGAAGCCAATCAGCTGCTCAGGTTCACGAATCAGCCGTTTTACCCCCGGTTCTCAGTGGATTGGTAGAATGGGTATCGGAACAGGGTCAGATGTAGTGGTAAATACAAATTCGTGCCCCTGCAGGGAATCGAACACCGGTTATCCAGCTTTTATTGTACCATAACATTTTTAAATAAAATGACAAGTGCTGATAACTTATGGCAACCTTCCCATTTTGTAAGTGCTTCCGTCTGAAAATATACACCAAAATGAATCTAAAGATGAATAGGCCTGTACGTGTTTGTATGTAAAGTAAAGTAAAGTTTGTCCCACTATACGCCATGTAGGCGTTTGGGGTGAGTGGAGGTATAGCTCCTCTCTTCCTTGACCTCAGCACTAGATGGGGGGTGAGTGGTCGGCATCACCCCCAGGAAAGGACCCCGGTACCCATTGTAGAGAAGGCTGGGTGGGCCCCAGAGCCGGTCTGGACGCAGAGGCTAGAGGAAAAATCTTCTGCCCCCGTCGGGGATCGAACCCCAGTCGTCCAGCCCGTAGCTAGTCACTATACTGACTGAGCTATCCCGGCTCATACGTGTGTTTGTATGTAGTATTATAAAATACCTCTGATATAAGTTCCAAATAGCAAGACCCTCAAATGCCTAGTTTATTTAATATTACATGTTTCGTACAGAATTAGTGGGGACTGTAAAATACGCGAATCATCTTCGCGGCCGACATGTCATCTCAAATTTCCGGAAGAAAATTTACCGCAGTTCAAGTTTCGTATGGTGGTCCTGCCTTAAAGATAATTTTCATGAATTCCGGTCAACAAGTTACAAAGTCTCTTTGGATTGAGATACATCCATGCACAAAGACGTGGTGATGTATTTCTCGCGTTTCATAGTGTCAGCGTGTCTACGCCGCAGTGGTTTTGGCCACGTGGAACATAAAGACATAAATGAGAGCTTAATATTAAAATGTATTTTACTGAAATCGGATGTGATGTGAGATGATGGACCAGAGACATCTGGTGCAGGACGTGAAAGGTCGGGAATTTCTTGGCCAACGGAGTAAATACCAAATTCTCAAGAAGTATTCTCCTCAGTGGAAATGGATTGGGTGTAGCATTTGTATTGGTGAGTACCTGAGAATGTTTTAGCTTTGTGTCAGTACGTGATGTGTCGTGAACAGTTTCCTCGAAAGAGTACACCTTTGCAGTCGTGGTATTAAGGTGAGGTCTGAAATCAGAAGACTTTGGAAAAATGTGCAGTGATTTATTTCAAGGAACATTCACATGATAGAAATGAGAACTTCAAAGGGAGCAGGTCGATTCTCGAATTCTGTACATTTGTTACATGCCACAAATATCACACATGAGTTGTCGTTGATAACAGAAGTCAGAAAAGGGTTGTAGGAGAACTAGCCGTGGCCTGTCGCAGCATTGCTGCTCATGTCTTAGGAAAGCCAAGAGAAAGAAACGTCACTGAAGTCTAGAACGTCGGGCAGCCTCATACAGTCCTTGACGGACCTTGACCGCCTCACATTTGGAAGGTTTCTTAAGCTACTTAGCCATTCGGAAGGACTCATTTGGACGAGCGATCAACCCACCGCAAGGTTTGTGCAGCCTACCAGTAGCTATGGGGGAAGTAAAGTGAAAGGATTTGACACAGGAACGTATTCAAAAGATTCGATTTGGTGTTGGCAGTGTCGAACCTTAGGATTCTACTGCAACACAGCCAGCTGCTTTGCCCCTGCTTTGTCAATTAGTCTCACTTACTACTGATTAGTGGGCTAGTTGGCTCGATAGCTAATTAGTTTTATGGAGGTCGGAAACATTCGTAATCATAGAAACTAGGCCTTTAGCATAATTCTATTATTTAATCAGGCCCATCGTGTTGTGAATAAAAACACGAAGATTGGGGCTGGTATCTAAAAGGTGTGTGATGTATGCACGACGTCAGTCTGTTTTTCTGTTAGGTATATGCAGACAGCTACATGACAGGGCGTTATAAGGAAGTTGAACATCGCTTTGGATAG